TTTCCTTTCCCTTTCCTCTTGTGTTCCACCCTACGTGGAATCAGCTAAAATAACATATCTCTCTTATGTATTTTCAGTAGTCAAAATTCAGGACTCCATGTCTTCTACAACAGGGTCAAAATAATGCAAAACCTGGGGTCCTCCATTTGCTTGCATGGTCTGCAGTTGAAGTGTTTATTTCAGGAGATGAGAAAAAGTTTTCCCTCTGTCTATTTTTTTCTTTAAAACTTCCTTTAGAACAGAGCAATACAATTTACTAGTGGTGAACATGATCTTCAGTATGTCAGTTTCCCAGTTTAGCAAGCAATTTTATGTGTCCTTTTTACACGTTAAGAGGAACTTACTTGTGAATTTGCTTACTTTGCTCCATGAGTACATCTCAGTGATTGCGATAGGTTACGATTCTTACATCATTTTTAAAATGAACAAAATGCAAGCAGTCAGATTATCCCCTGATAATTCACGTATTCCCTGAACTTAATCACCTAGTAAGAAGAAGCTGCTCAGAGACTTACATCACTACCAACCTGTGATAGTAGGGATGCATAGAATAGTAGTGTCTTCATCACTCAACAGACCAAGGGCATGAAGCAGGAAAGCACCAGGTCAGTGACAACTTGAATTCCCTATAAGCCTCCTAACGACATGTTAAGACACCAGCCAGCAACATTAGGGAAGATATTAAACTTTTTCCACTACTATTCCCCACACTGCAATAACTCATAGACACAGAACTTGAGACCCTGAAAGAGCTCAGGGGTGAATTTTGTCATTGATACAAGATAAATACAAATCACATCATGATAGCACAGATGCCTAGAATCCATAAGGATCCCTTCTGCCTTTGATGGTGAGTGAGTGGTACACCAGGCTTACAGGGATGCACTTTGTTTCAAACATAAAGCACAGTACACCTCATGCTAGACTTATTGCAGCCTGTGAATTCCGAAATTTTGTTAGAGAGACAAAATAACAAAACACTTCCGCAAGCAAAAGAAAACGTATGCACTTTTCAGACAGCTTTCTTGGCTTACATTTCACCCATGAGGCGACTTGCTTCATTGGCTAAAGCTGGATTTAATCTTAAAGCAAATTAGCAAAACATGAATATGTGCTCCAGATGCCAAGCACTTCCATGCTTCAAACAGCAGTCTTGTGGAATAGAAGCATAAGCAACGGTAATCGTCAATCCAAGGAAATCCTCTTGACTTTGATTTGTCCTATAACCTTATTTAGGTCACTAGCATTTTTAATTTTTCTGATCTACAAGAACTGCTGTATGGCACTGGTCTCGCTCATGATGTTCTTATGTAATGTAGTTAGTACACCCACTACAAAAGCAGCCCTTGAAGAAAGCTTCTACACAAGGAGATGTTATTATCTTTTTATCCAGTTGTCTGTGTAAAATGTTATTAAACAGTGGTTCTCTTTTCTTCTTGCAAATCACCTTGCTGAAGGTTGCTACAAAAAGACGATTTCTGCCGGATGAACATGACATGAAATGAAACACATTCAGTTTTAAGCAAAATTTCACCTCACTGTGAAGTATAAAACAGAATTCTGGACAATGCAGCTGAAGTGAAGTTCAGGGATCAATCAGCTGTATCTCAAATCTAAGACTTATTTTCATAGATGGAGATTTCATTGACTCAATCAATCTATACAGGTATTTTGTAAATGAAAATTTGTAAATAACCATCCTGAATTCTATGCTGTAATTTTGGTTCATTGATTTTGGGCCAATCTGCAGTGGACCAGAAGAATATTTTGTTCCTTTTTATTATTATTATTCCTACAGCCTTATCATGTCTTCAAAGATATGCTCATTTGTTCCTGGAGTCTGTTGTTTGCTAGGTCAAGCAATTTAAATTATTCACTCTTCTTGCTCAGGTGTATTCTCTGAACTGCTGTCAACTCCTTACCCTATGCCTCTCTTGAAGTGCAGTGTCCCAAAGTGGACATAGTGGGTTCAGTGGAGCAGAGACATGCAACGCGTGTTGGTCTCATGGCAATTGTCATTGTTTTCAATGTAGAACTAGAGAATATCTCAAGTTAAAGGGATCTGTAAGAATCATCAAGTCCAACCCTTGACTCCACAGAGGACCACCCGAAGATTCAAACCTTACGTCTGGCAGTGTTGTCCCCATGCTTCTTGCCTGTAGATCCTTCCCCATCTTTGTAGGCCCCCTTAGATTGCAGTGCCCAAACATGCACCCAGTGCTGGAGGTGAGGCCAAGTATTCCACCTGCAGAGAACCTTCACCTGCTGTGTGTTGGGGGTGATGTTTGGAAGGCTCACCCAGCCTGGAATCATTACAGCTACTGCGCCGTAGTGTCCTGTGCTGCTCCTTTATTTAATGGAATCCTGTTTTTAAAAGTGTGTGTTTCCAGTTCATCAAGAATGTTTTGAATTCCAGCCATAGCTTCTATGAAGGCCTTTATCATGATGAGCATCCCATTAATACCTACAGAAGTTTTCATTCCGCAAGCTAATTCAGACTGATAGAGGCTGCAGTGATTTAAGCTGCCTATTAATGTAGTTCCTTAATCCCCAAGAATGAGATCTTTCTCTCTGCTCTCTGAACAGCAGCTACCACAAATAGATGAATAGAAACTTTGTCTATATGCTTTTGTCTACAGTCTTTCAAATTTAGCTCTCCTTACTCAACTTTTGCACCTTTTTTGTCATTTTTGTAGATTGGTTTAATTGTACGTTTCTGTAGAGCTTAAAGCACTCATTTTAAGTTGGCAAGAGGACTGACAATGTGTGCTTACCCCTATGTGGGAAGGAAGCACCCCTCTAACACAGGCTTGGCTGACACTGAGGATTTTCTTATGCAGGAATTGCAAAAAGATTTGTGTCAGAGCCCTGTTCTGTTGTTAGCCTTATCATTACAATACAGGAATGCAGAATTTCCTTTTAAAAAATGCTCTCCCAATTTTATATCAGAGAAAATGGGAGCACGTCTTGTCCCTTATTTTTTTAACATATGAAAGATCTTTTCTGAAATGAAAAAGACAAGCCAATCCCTTAGGAGAACCAATTGATTTCAAGGACAAATGTGATATGAAATCTTACTTCTTTTTCCCCCCCCCGCTTTATTTATCTTCCAAAAAGATGTCTCCTTCCAATCCCTGTACAAAAAAAGTGTCCCCGTAAGCATAGTTTTACCATGTCTCTGCTAAGTGTTGCAAAGGGAATTTGCTTCCAAGAGATTGTTAGATTTTAAAACATGTTTGTTTGCTGTTTGTTTGCTTGTTTTGGTTTTTTTGTTTGCTTGTTTGGTTTTTGTCTAAAATTTAAGCACCCTGCCCACACTGGTTGTCTTGTATAGGTGATTCTATAATCAGTGGAGACAGCTATCCCAGGGTGGGTGAGATGAATGATGACTCATGTCTGAGATATTACCATTATCTAGACTGCAAAGACCATTTAGAGTAGCTGTCTCTCTTTAGAGCTTTAAAGTTAGATGAGGTGACCCAAATGACAGATTAAACTAACAGAAGTTATCGTGCTGGGAAAAATGAAACCATCTAAACACAGCATTCATTGTGTGCTTAAACTAATCCCTGGGCTCAGGCATGGAGCACAGCCTGGAATTGCTCATACAGCAAGTGGGTCCTGCCTCTTCTGCACAGCCACATAGGTCATGAAGTCCCATTGCTACCAGACTGAAGCAGAGCTGGTTCTGTTCCTCAGTAGAAAAGGAACTGTGTGTACTGGCTGCTGAGCCACGTGTGTATTTTTTTTCTCCCCTTGGCTGTAATAACAACATGTGTATTATCACAGAATCACAGAATCATGGAATCACAGAATGGCCAGGGTTGAAAGGGACCCCAGGGATCATGAATCTCCAACCTCCCTGCCATATGCAGGGCCACCGACCTCCCCATTTAATACTAGTGATACTTATCACTGCTGGATACTTCAGCACTTCTTAATTCTGCCTTTCCTTGTTTCTCTGTCCTATGCCCTTCAAAATCTTGCTGTGAAAAATGCTGTCTGTTCTGCTTGTCTTTGCAGAAGAGCTGCAGAATTGTTTTCTTCCTTGCCATACATGCATTATGCAAGTTAGGTTTTCTAAGTTTGCAGAAATGCTGAATATTTTCTCCAGGCTGACTCCATGCTCTGCAGACTCAGTGCTTCTCAGGCATTAAAGCTGGTTGGCTTGATGTAGACAAACTGAATTTTGCAGTCCCACGTGGCTAGGAGAAACCTACAGAATAGCACTGAAAAATAACTCACCTGCATTTAGAGGAGACCAACAACGTTTCAGTAGGCCATAAAGGAGGGAGCAAATTGTATGCTCATGCACATGAAGCAAACAAATGCATGTGTGTATGCCCTTAGTCTTGCAGTCAGAGGAACATAATGCTTCCAGAGTGCTTCTTATTTTTCTTTTCTTTGTACACAGTACCACTAGGGGACGTTTTGTCATCATGTATTGCATGCTGCACAATTTTACTTTTTCTTACAGTGGGTCATGCTTACTTTTCAATCTTGCTAGACATCTAGATCATGGAGTGGGTGTCTGAATTTCATAGGGCTTGTGGGTGACCCATACTCAATGGGCCCGGGAAGGAGAGAAGTATTTATTTCCTCCATTGCTCCAAGGAAGCATGTCTATCAGTATTCCTTGCAAAGCGTGGCAGTTGGTTATTTCACAGCTTGTTGGAGCAACAAGAGCAAGCTGATGGCTGCCTCTCATTTTAGTGTCCAGTGCTGAACACAGGCATCGATAGCAGTTTTGTGAATATAGCAGTAATATACAGGCACTGCAAATCAATCTGGGAGGGACATCACTGGTGATGATGCATGTGAGGTATTTTCTGAAAGAACAAGAATATCTTTTAGTCTATATAATTAAAAATCAATTGTCAAAACTTACATTCCACTCATTTTTGCATTCTCGTCTCATTTGTCCTATGTTAACTGATTGGATTAACCCAAGTCACTATCCACTCACCTGCCTACATCATTTTTTTGTCTTTCTGATGCAGACAGAGCAGCTGGTGACTCTTTGGATCCTCTTTATTGTTACTATTGCTGGAAATGCCATCGTGCTCTTCTCTACATGGAGAAGGAAGCGGAAATCTCGAATGACCTTCTTTGTTACACAGCTGGCAATCACAGGTAGTGTCTGGGAGGGAAAGGGCCACTTAAGCTTTACAGAAATCAGTATGAAAATGACAAGAAGTTTTTGCATAAACAAGGAAATGCAAGTTGAATGGTGAAGAATTCAGTTGCCACCCAACTTGCAGCTGCAGCTTGTCATAAGACAGATGGATGGGTGCTTATCTTAGGGCTCAGTCTGCCTTTGATCTCAAAAGATGTTGCTAGATGTAGTAGTGTCTGTGTCAGTTGCAGCAGCTGCAACTCATTGTTTTCACTGAATCTTATCTCCCAGTCTGAATTAGCATCCACATTTCCCAAAAGTTATGTTCCCAGCTGTTGTCATAGAACTGTTTAGATTAAAATAGTTCAAGATGAATCTCTAGTGTTTTTCTGCTAAAATCCTTTCTAAAGTACTTCATTAAAGTGTTGCTTCATCAATTGCACGCTTGCATTGAAGAGTGAAAATAACTTCCTGTGGTCTGATTTAACCAAGTAAGGGAGGTATAAAGATGTAAATGTAGAGAGGAATATATTTGGGTTTTGTGTCTGTGGGGAGGGGAATAAGAATTATACGGGAGAACGTACAGAAACCTGGCTTGTAAAATGTCACAATGGCAAGGAATGGGAACAAGAGCATAGTCAGTACTTCGTTTCTCTGTGGCCTTGAATTGCCTGAATTTATGGAGTTTTAACAGTTTCCCAAGGGAAAAAGTCTACAGTTTCTATAACAATGTCCTGCTACTAATCCCTGTTTACAAGGCATCTGTGTTGTATTGCTTGTGTATATGGGATATATTGATTCTTTTTCTGTTCCTTTTTTTTTCTTTTTCCTTTTTTGTAAGAAACAGTAGTAATTACAAGAATTTTCTACTAAACAGCTATTTAATACATGTTTTCCCAGCAATTTTGAGTCCTCCTTTGACATCTGTTGTATCTGTTTAAGCTGGAAACTCAAAAGAAATAGCAGGATAGTATTGGTCAGAACTAGTTGAGAGACATCTAGTCCGTATGAGGTACACCAGGAGGAAACTACTATTGGTGTTGTGCTGGGTAGTTCTGTCATTTTTGCATAGGAAAGGCTGTTCTACTGGACAAATATAGAGTTGGATGGAGAGCTATTTGCTGGGAATTTGAACACAGTCTGTATGATGAGAGGAGAAGGGACTGCAAACACAGTTTTGAAGAAGCTGCAGTAGTCAGTGACAAAAACAAGGAGACATCCCATTAGATGTGGGCAGCACATAATGTTCTAGAGCTGATATTAACATATTGACTAAGGTCAATGTGTTAAACTTGCTAGCTCTTTCAATCTCCTCTTTCCTAAAATTATCCCCAACTTTCAAAATCAGACCTTGAAAGTGCCTCAGTTCAGCAGTGTGTTCCATTTCATATTAAATGAATTCACACAGGCAACTCACCCACATCTGCAATGTTAGAAGAGTTAACACCACTTTGAACAGCAAGGCTCCTTTCAAGCAGTGTGGATTTCTTTCTTATGATGCAGGAGTCAGACCTCTAATTTATCTTCCCTCACCAAGAGTTCCTGTCAGCATTTTGGCACAAAGAAATGACTTAATTCCTGAAATGGAGCCATTTCACTTCCTTATCTTCAAAAATATTAATAAGAACAAAGCAAGCTGGCAACAGTCATCAGCCTTTCACAACAAGTTATGAGGTAGACACAGAACATTATGAAAACACTGGCTTGTCACATTGCTTTGACACGCCAGGCATATTTAAATCCTACTAACTAAAGCCTAATCTCCTGACAATCAGTTTCTGCTTACTCAATCTTACTACTTCCATCTATTTTTGAATTCTTAAAATATTAATTATTTCTGCCAAGGAGCAAGAGAGAAGAATAATGAATACAGTTTCATCAATGCAGGCATTTCTAAGCAGTCATTTCTAAGCCATTTAAAAACTTCTTTTTTATAGATATGTTTCATCAGTTGAGTAGCATCCTCAATTCTCACATCCTCCTACTAACATAGCACTAATATAAAATGAAAGTCTAGTTTTTGTGTTACAATAGAAAAGGCATTCAAAGCAAATTGCGCATAATACACGAATAGGAAATGAGCACTGATATTCTCCTTGACTCATTGCCAAGCCAGATGGAGAAGAGAAGTAGCAAACTGGTTGAGGCTTCTTTCAAGATGACTAAAATTCAGTGGTCTTACTCACTTGGCAGATTCACAGATAAGACTCATACGTATCCCTCACTACATCATAATTTGTCATGGTGCTGGAGGATGCAGGAATATGTAGATATGTAAAGATCTTGCTAACACTTAATTCAGAGAGTATTTCTTACTAAGTATGTGCCCATAGAATGTCTGTATCAGTACTGCATTTATGCCTCTGTTTAACTCTTAGCTCATGCATAAATTGCTTTGAAATTAGCTAGGAATTAAGCACCAGGAAATCAGCTAAGAGTTAACAGCTGGGTTGAACAATAGTACTAATCACTTGTCAGCTAATTTAACAAAGAGTAATATTGCTAAGTTTGTCTAGTGCTCACTTTGCTTTTGGGCATATGCTTTTTTTTCACCACCAACAAGAAACAAGCTCTTCTGTGAAGACTGAAACTAAAGGTAGGTTTCCTACAGATTTCTATCTCCAAGGCAATTTAGTTTCTCAGAAAGTGTAAGCTTTGAAGATTACCCTGTGGGGGGAGTATTTCTAAACACTTTTTCCCAAATAGATTTCTTTTGAGTTTAACACAACTTATCCTTGTGGCATAGCTATCTCTACTGGCAGGAAACCTCTCACATCTCCCTCTATCTGATGCCATTTCACATACCTTGCAGAGCCTTACAGTCTTTAACATTTTTGCCTCTGACTGAATTCCCCAAGTTGTTCAAGAAGAGAGTGGGGTCTGACAGACTGGTAAGTTCACAGACACTGTGATCATGCTGGAAATTTTCAAGTGAAATATGGTTGCACTCAGAAAATATTTCTACTTATTCAGACACTTTACCCAGCTCTACCAAAGAAAGGCCACCTTACCCCTACTTTCAAAATGTAAAAGCAGCTGACAATCATACTTTTTTTTTTCTATTAATACCTCAGGTATTTGAATGTCTCATCCCACTCCATGGGTTTCAAGGGAGATGAATCTTTTTCTGTCTCCTGAGCTGCACCTCCTCTAGTTAGCAGGGGTTGCTGCAGTGATGGAGTCATCCAAGGATCAGAGGAATAATACATATCAATACAATTTACTGAGAGCTTTCTTAACACCAATTAATGCTTTACTTGAAGGTAAAATTGGCTAATTGGCTAATTATGGTTAAAAATCATTACAGTTGAGACAATATTAGGCAATGGCTACTACAGAAGCAGAAGTATAAAAGAAGAAAATGAGAAAATACAGAAAATCGGAAGAGGCAGACATACAGACATACAGACAGACAGACATACAGACATACAGATATACAGATATACAGATATATGGATGTACAGATATACAGATATACAGATACAGCAAAGCAAAGAGGTTCACCGCTCCTCAACCTAGCAATGTCTTGGTGTCAGGTGCTGATCTTTGGTAGTGGTGGGTCATCCAAGGTTGTGGTGGTCAGTTGACTGCTTACAGTGACAGTACTTACTGTTATAGTCCAGAGTGGTCAAGCCTGCTCTTTTGGAGCGAATTTTTCTGACTTCTGAGTTCTGAGCAGGAACTTCTTTGTTCCCATTTTCCAGGCCTTGTGAACTTAAATCAGCAGGTAAGAGCACACAGGGATACTCCAGCTTGTATATGCCTTCACAGGATACAGTGGTATCATCTCCCAGTCTCCTTTTTAAGCTGGAAACACCTGTTCTCAGGCAAGTCTTCAGACAGGAAACATTCTTGGGCCCTTCCATTCAAAGGCAAACAACTCCAAAGAAATGCTTTCAACTGCAAAACTGTCCACAAAGTGTTGGTGATTGCCTCGTGTTCATTTGAGATATTCCTTACCAGTCTCCTACATTGAGTATCATTGGATAAGAAGCATGATATATTACCTAAACAGTTTATTCAACAAAAATTATTGTAATTTGACCAATTCAAAAGTGGATCAAGAAACACAAGATCGATTTTGATAAACCGTATCCTTCACTCAACTTCAAGGATTACTGTCTGGAGAATGTATTTAAGTTCCTTTTTATGATTTAATGACTACAGAAATGTGTGTATGTATATGTTTTTGTGTTCTACATTTGTTGGTTTGAGGTTATTTTTGGTTTGTTTCTTTCTATTTCCTTCCCAAGTAAATATCTAAAAAGTGGGATTTGAAAATGTTAAGGTGATTTCTCACAGAAGACTCTGAGATTTCTCTTTTTGTCCTAACATTAAGCAGAAATCAGAATCTGAAGAATGTTGGATTCTGTTTGTTACTGGGGTTAGATATAAAGTGGCAACTTCACCACGTGCCTAATTATAAGCCTTAGGCCAACAGATTTGAAAGGAATACATGCTTATTTAGGTATTGCTGCAGTTGTAGTGAAGAAAAAAACTAAAAAGAATGCCAGCTAACTTCTGTATGGTAGAATACATACAAAAAGAAAAGCAAAAGAGAAAGATGTGAAAAAAATATTCAGCTATAGTCTAACTTGTGAAAGAAATACCAAAATCTAAGTAATGACGAGAAATTTACACTGGAAAGACAAGGATGTATTTTTTAAAGTGTTTCTGTGCATCACTTGCAGCTTTCTCACTTGCTCCCAGGAAATCGGACCATGGAAAATGACTTTAGTCCACAAGCTAGTATACTCATTTTTAGTGTTTAGTAAAATAGCAGTACACAAAGAGCAAACCATAGGAGTGTTATGTGAACAAATAGGTGGAGACAGGCTGTGCTGACGCAAGAATTATTTCATTTCTGTGCTGCTTAGCCTCAGACTTCTGAGATGACTTTGGCCATAATGACTAAAGGCAGAGTCTGAGAGTTTCCCTATATAAAACTTGTGCATCTAACTCAACAACTACAATGGCTAAACATGAACAGACACATTAGAAGCTCCCATTTTTTCTG